GGCAGAGTTGCCATTACGCAAGACGGTCGACCTCCGAGTGGAAAAAATTAATCTCTGATATCTCTCTGTCTCTGTCTCTCACTTGATAAGTTACGACCGTCTTCTAAGTTAGGGTAAGTTCGAGGGATGTTTCGGTGTGAGGATGAGGTGAGATTTGGAGTAATTAGGCTGGTGTTGGTGTTGAAAACGGCCGGTGATGTAAGAAGGTAGTAAACTGTCCCAAATTTTTTGAACTTGTGGTTGTATTTCAAACACGTGTTTTAGAGCAAGAAGTGTTATGGAATTATGTAATACTTCTTGCAGGGTTGTTAGATGGTTATGTAAATGTTTGTTTCACGTTTTCCCTGTTTATTCCAATAATTCTTTGTGAAATGGGAAAGGTTCATGGTAATGTTTTAGGCCTAAATGTTTAATCCTAGATTTTTAGGCCTATTGAGAGTTCCTGAAAAGTCATGAATTTGTTAATTACAGGATGAATAGGAGAGTAATTTTCATTTGAATTATTTTACATACTCTTATCTGCGAGATACAAAACCTTACAGTTTAGTTTGTCATCTTCCTGTTGTTTTACCTTAGTTAGCAAGCATGACAAAGAGCTAAAGAAGATTGAAATGATTAAGCATGAAAAGTAGTATGTGTATGGTTGAGGTATGGTTGACTCTTTGGGACAGATATATAATTATATTTTTTTATGAGTACGATTACGAGGCAAGAGCATTTTATACATTGTTGAATTTTATTTACGCCAGAAATTTTGAAAGCGTATTGCAGTCCAGTATATTCTAGTGAAGAGTACGAAACAGGTAAATAGAATTCAAAAACTTCAGTTCGATGCTACTTTTTCATAGAATATACAGGAATTCATAATTAATTAACGGCATAAATTAATTGGTATGCGGTGATGGGTTTACACAATGATAAATAGTGCAAGAACTTTCACTTCTTTGCCATCTATCCTTTGTCCCTTAAGGTCGGCAATTCATACTTCTTGGTCCAAAGCAATATATCTTTAGACCTTTGTGTTTCATATAGTCTTTGCTTTAATAATGATAAAGAAAGAAAGATTATAACAAGTCTTTGACTCAAATTATGGTTTCCAAGGTTACTGGAACCCCACCATCCTTTATTTCATTTGGCCTAAAATGTACAGTAAAATAAACAGAAAAAATATCATCAGAGATTTCAGGATAGTGGAAGAAAAGCAAGATCTTGGTGCTTTGTATCTGATTTATTTTTTTGTTTGTATAAGTTTGTTTTTTACAATGGTGAAGGTTATATGTTGTAAGTCACGGTTATTCAGCAGTTTTCATAGTTGTTCTACAGTCCTTTCCTTTAAAGATTTTGGCATAGTATTTATTTTAAAGCCTTCTGATTTATTGCTACTTTATGTTTGATTATTGAACTTTTTTTTATTTTATTTTATTATTTTTTTTTTTTTATTAGTTATTTTTTATGGTTTACTGGGACTGTTTTATTTGTTTTAAAGAATTGATACAGAGATTCTTATTTATGTATACATATTTTTTTCTTCTTCTTCTTCCTCTCATTATTATTATTTATTATTATTTTATTATTATTTATTATTTCTCTTCTCTTCTTCTTCTTCTTCTTTTTCTGTCTTCTTCTTCTACTATAGTGTTTATATTTTGTAAAACAAGATCTATAGAGATTGATAGCAGTTTATAGTCTTACCAGAAAAATGCCATGCATGTCATCAAAACTGAAGATTAATTACAATATTCCTTGATGTTAGGGATTGATCCAGTTTTAAAAATCTGTTCAAGATGGGTTGTCCCATTATTATTATTATTATTATTATTATTATTATTATTATTATTATTATTATTTATTTTATTATTATTATTATTATTTATTTTATTATTATTATTATTATTATTATTATTATTATTATTATGTGTGTGGGGGAGGGCCGTGCATGTGTGCATGCTTTTGTGAATGTGTGTGTTTGTAGTTATGTTTATGTGTGTTTGTGTTTGTATGCATGCTTACAGGTATGTTTATGTGTATGTACACATGATAATGATGCCTAAAGCCAATGATAGAAACATAGAAGGTAATATACTACAATTTACGCTAAAATTCATAACAAGGGAAATGGGATTCCTGCACAGGTATTGGTGCTGGGTTCCGTAGAAGCCCAGAGAAGTCAGGCCACCATTAGTAAAACACCTCCGAAAGTGGGCCAAAGGCCAGAGACAGACGCAGCAGAACAGATTGCTTTGCCAATTCATGGACCAGTGGGAAAGGTAGGAAAACAGACAAGAAATTCTTGTGTTTTTCTTTTTTCTATTGATGTTAGAAGATGCCAACATTTTTTCTTTCTTTATTCTTATATTGATTCAATGATTAGGTGTATATGATTGGTCACTTATTTAAGACTTGATTAATGGCATCAGAATTTCTTATTAAAAAAAAAAAAAAAATGTCATAGGATGATTGCAATGGTTTTCATAACAAAAACAGAAACTAGACTACCAATAGTTTCAGATTCATAAATATCCATAAAAAACATTTCAGATGTAAAAGGTAAATGTCAGCAAACAAAATTTCTAGAAGATGAGAAGAGCACAAGGTAATATTAACTGTGAAAATGCCTATAGTCTGTGCTTGATATGGTTTTGAAATTTGTCTACAATATATATTTCTTCTTTTACAAGAAATACATTTAATATATTGGTGATGCCTGGCTGAATGCAGCATAAAGTTACTTGTCCAGATACCTCGATGTTCAACATGTCTGAATAAATGTATATATATAGTGTCCAGGATGTCCAATTAAAAAAAAAACAGTAATCACCAATCTTTCAAGTAAATCTTTGCCATAAAAAGTGTAGTCACCATCTATACTATTCATCAGTGCAAACATTTCTCTGGAGTTTAATTCATATTCAAATCATATTTATTGCAGAAAAATATATGGATGAGAATAAATATTTTCACAGGACAATAGATGTGTTTGACTGGTTTTATCTATATCTTCATCAGATGTACATGTATTTCTGGTAAAAATGTAGTTGAAACAAACCATATGCTGTAATGATCTTCATTTTCATTCATAACTTCTTTCTACATTTCTGCATTGTCAGATCTTGTTATTTGGTTACTGTGTGGCCTATCTTTTTCTCTGCCGCAGCCAGTCATCTGTGTTTTACATTTTCTTTCTACTAATCACAGGGCTAGGCTTCAGTATCCTTTTTTAGTATACAGTTTAATTACATTTATATGAAGAAAAGATACTATATTCTCTGTCATTTAGTGTATATGCATTACTGGCTCTGTGTGGTGTGGAATCTGACATGTATTTCTCTTAGTCTTAGCTTTGGTGATACATTTGCAGGTGATCAGCATTTGCTTGTTATTTTATACTTTTTCCTATAGTGTTGGAAGAAACATAGTCAAAGTATGGCTAGTCATAACCAGTATGATAGATATGTATGAATCCAGTTTCAGAAAGAATGAAATTGATTTGATTCAGTGTCCCAGAAATTGAGACAATCAAAGCCAGTCGTTTTCTCTGTTACAGTAACCATGTTTCATTTCTGTTTTATGACCACTATTTACCTGTTGATTTTGGGGGCATATGTATGCATCCCCTATCCTCTATGATTTCAGGTGATTGATTTCATTCTAAATATAAAAATATACATAATTCCCTAGTCACCAAAGAGTCACTAAGCCTACCTGATCTCTCCCTGTTATCCTGGTTCATTCATTAAAAAAAGTTTGATGTTCTTTACTATTATTAATATAAACAATGTTATGATAGTGATAATGACTACAATAACAGAAGTAATAGGAATATTTTTTTTCTTAAAATTGAAGGAATGGGGTAAAGAGCGTAGACCGGGTAGGTCTAGTAATTAACTTTAATGACAAGGTCCTTGTGAAACCATCTGTGAGTATATAAGATTGACATAATAAAACTACGTTGGGCAGTATATTTACCTGATTCCCATTGGCTGAATATCCTTTTATGCCTGAGAGTCACCTTTGGTATTGATACTTTAGTTTTGGTACTAAAAATGTGTTCCATACACAGAATATAGTCATCATCAGACTACTATTTTATTACTTGTAAAAGTAATTTCTTTACATTTAGATATATCTGAGGCTTTCTCCACACTTTCCTGCTAACTCTTATGTCCTCCAGTACGGAATATGCTTTGCATCATAAAACTCAATGCTTATCTATAGAGAAATATGAATGGTTGTCTGTTGAGATTTCATACATTTTTCCCAAAATATTCAGAAATAGTATTAAAGTAGTATTGTTATTGTTTTTTTTTTTTTTATTGCAGATGAGGGCTCCAGGAACTCTAAGTCGACTCCACGTCTTAACCAGAATTTTAGCCGTTCCTCGCATACAAGGAAATTTAACTGTAAATAGATTCCAGCCTATTCGTCTCATATCAGGTATGTTTCTGTAGTATATTGCTGATACTTTCTTTTTGTTTTTTGTTTTTTTGTTTTTGTTTGTCATTTATGTAGGAAATTTTAGTCACTAATATTTGTACAGAGCAGTTCACATTTCAACCACAGAGAGTGAGAGTTCAGACATGTCTCAGAAGATGTTCCTGAATGTGAATCTTCAAGTTTATAATGAAAAATAAGGATTAGAGTTAACTTTTTTCATTTTAGGGATAATTTCCCACAGAGATGATTCATAGAACATTTAAAAGTGTCCTCTTTTTTATTATCTTTTTCTTCTTCGTTTTACATTTGTTTTGATTTGTTCATAATGCAGTTCGGATCATGTTTGATATCAGTTCTTGCTTGTAGATTCAAATTACCTTGAGTTTTTTTGAATTTTCATGGTTCAAATATCATGTAATCTTAAATCAGTTTGAGTAGTGGATACAGAAAAGCATTTATTTTTCCTTGGATTATATTACCTTAGATTATACAGATCATACTGTAGGTTATTTTAGTGTGTATATGAAAATCAGTTAAGAATAGAAATTATTTGATATACTCAATATGTAGATATTAAGGGAATCCGGATTCTTTTCCAAGGTCATTCGCTAATTCCCACTGACTGTGAAAATATACATCATATTTATAGGAATTGTAAAAAGCAGAGGATATTCATGCTGAGTGTCAAAGCTTTGAAACTGATTGGCACCAAATATTTTAAGAGATGTAGCTTGACTAAGTTTTCAGATATTTGAGTCATTGCAGAACATTGAACAAATTCTTTATTTGCTCAGAATTTGCTAGTAATTGGTATAGTATAAAAGAAATAGAATGCCCACTTTCATAATTGGAAAGTGAAGGTTAGAAAAATGTTCTTTTATACAATAGCAGAGGACTCTATTATATACAATTAACCTAGTTTATGTATATTTGTTATTTCTGTGAAAATTTCCTCTTTTATTTTGATTTTACCGAAGTTTCTGACCTTTTAGCCATGCCTTTAACTATACCTTCTGTAGCACTGGAGGTCATAAAAGTTTGTTCCTTCTTTTTCTAAAGCCATTGTTTATTTTGTAGAGTCTTCAAAAATTTCAATCGGAGATGTGTCGAAGGAGATACACGCACCAAAAAATCCAGAACTCGTTCCCACAGGATACAGTAAGTTTGCATATTACATTCTAATCTTTCTCATTAATAGCAAAGGAATATGAGAAACATATTTTCATGATAAGCCTTTATTTCTCCTAGTTAATTGTAGGTTATCCAATTGTCAGTTATTTTCTAAGGTCATCCGCAACTTCTTCAAATAAACTAACCTGGCGTAGCTTCGTTGTTTCTGTTGTCAATTTAATTTTTTTTTTTTTTTTTTTTTTTTTTTTTTTTTTTTTTTTTGCATGTGGAAAGACGAGAATTGAACTGATATTGATGAATCATCTTATCTTTTTGTACCATTTCACCATTTTTAGTAATATTAGTTTGCTCTTAGTATTTCTCTCAGCTTTAAATTATTTACAAAGTAATGCTATCTAATGTTTGACTTGAATCAGAGGCATAAAGTACAACATTGTAGGAATGTGTTGAGAGAGACAGACAGACAGACAGACAGAGAGATTGAGATTTAAAGATTTGAAGAGAAAGAGAATGTATATATAGATATATATGAAAATACAATGATAAATATGAGTAAATAAATCTTTATGTATATATATATATATGTATATATATAATATATATATATATATATATATATATATATATATATATATATATATATATATATATATATATATATATATATATATATATATATATATATATATATATATATATATATATATATATATATATATATATATATATAGTATATATATATATATATATATATATATATATATATATATATATACCTATATATATATATATATATATATATATATATATATATATATATATATATATATATATATACATACATATATATAGTATAGGTAGATAGTAATACTACAGACAGATAGAGAAGATATATGAAGCTTACCTTGCAGCACGCTTATGATGGACATTGTCATTTTTGGCAACAAGCAAGAGTCATTTGATCAGCTTGCTATGTCATTATTATTATAGATATATCTTTCCACCCTCCTCACACACTGATGTTATTATGCCACTGATTGAAGCTCAGTCTCTGAAAATAAGTCTTGAGATCTTTCTGTTACCATTATTGTTCTTATTAGTAGTAACTGCTGCCATAGCTGATATTGCTACCACTGCCTTTGGTACTCCTACTATGGTTACTTCAAACAATGATAAACTCCTACCAATACCACCACTAGCACTTTTGAGTTTTCTTCTGTTGCTTCTTTTTCTTGATCTGATTCATTTTTTGTCCTCCTTATTGTTTTTGTTTTCTTATTCTGATTATTCTTCCTCTTTCTTTTCCTTCTCCTTAGCCTCTTCTGCTGCTACTACTGTTTGTATTACAGTTGTTGATATTAATATTACTATTATTATGATTATGACAACTGCTACTAATCATATTACTACTATACAAACTAATGCTAATTCTTACTTCACTATATAAGCATGAGATTTTATATTTACAGGAAATTGATATACTAGTAATTTCTATCATTAACAAGAAAAATTGGTTTTAATTTCATTCAAAAATCCTTCCCACAGTCAGAGGTAATGTACCACAGTCTGTCCTGAAACATTTACGATGGCTGATCCAAAAGGACAAATTAGGACAAGATGTGTTCCTCATTGGGCCCCCAGGACCTCTCAAGCGGCTACTTGCAATGTCATATCTGGAGTTGACGCAGCGCGAGATCGAGTTTGTTACCTTAACACGAGATACAACAGACACAGATCTCAAGCAGAGAAGGGAAATTAAGTCTGGCTCTTCGTTTTATCATGACCAGGTAAGAGAGTAAGATAGGATTGAATATGATACTTGTAATTACATGAGCATAAGTAATGAATAGGATTGTAGCCTCTGTGTGAATATGAAAAGGGATAAAATTCATAGAATAGCTTGGATGGAGAGTAATCCATACATTGGAATGGAAATAAAACATGTTCACTAATCTTTTGTTATTATTCCTGGCAAAATTATATACTAAAAGAAAAAATCTGATAACAGTATGTAGTGAGAGTCTATCTGTGTGGCAGTAGTCACGGAACATTTTTAGTTCTTTTCCCCAAGCCATTATGAGGCTTTCCATTAGGTGACATTGGGCCTTAAGCCAGACTCCTTATATCTTACATGTAAAGGTAAGGAAAGTAAACTGCAGTTCCCTTACTTTATATAGCTAGATAGGATTACTGAGTCATGGAACACGCAGAGCAGAAAAAATTTTACATATAATATCTGGATGCAAAATGCACTTTTAATTATATTTCTCCTACAGAGTGCAGTCAGGGCAGCTATCGAAGGTCGTGTGTTGGTCCTCGAAGGGGTTGAAAAAGCAGAGAGGAATGTCTTGCCTGTCTTGAATAATTTGCTCGAAAACAGAGAGATGCAGCTGGAAGATGGGAGATTACTCATTGCGAGTAGCAGATATGATAAGCTCTTACAGGTATTTTTTTTATCTCTTATATATTAATTTAAGGCTTAAAGCATCAGGTGGTATAAGCTAGGGTTCTTTTGTCTTTTCTTTTACTTTTTCTTTCTTTCTTTTTATTTACCAAGTTTGTTCAGACCATTTTATATATATGATTTTTTTTTTATCTTGTCTTATCTTGTGTGTGTGTTCCTACTTTAGAACCCTGACAGTACTTTTACAAAAATATGAGGTAAAAATGTGAATGAACTTGATTCAAATTCTTTGTCTGACAGATTCATGAGAATAACAGAATGTATTCTGATTTTACAGCAACAGGATATAGGTTAATATGATTATTTTTTTAGATTCATAATCAGAGATTGCAAGGAAAGTTTTGCTTCTGGAGAAAACACCAAATTTGATAGAAATGCAGTTACTAAGCAGCAGATGATGCCAGGATGATAGTGATAGTATAAGACCTGCCATAAAAATCCCGAATGAAGGTGTTAGGATAGCCATACAAGCGCATGTGAGATCCTACCACAGGAATTAATGTTTACTTATTACGTCATTCGTGGTCATTTATTATAGTTCTGGTAAGTGTTAATTCTGTAAAAGGTTAGCCAAGTATCCACTCAGTAAAATGTTAGTTAAGACATAGTGCATTGTATCTGTTTCTTTGTAATTTAATGAATGGAAGTATATTTATAATGTGTAGAACTCCAAATTTGTTGGTTTTTCACCCCTTCGAAAATCAAATTAGAAATTGATGATAGCCTTATTTTACATATCTATATTAGTAAAGACAAATCGATTGACAGCAAGTACAGTCATCAAATTCCAGTTTTAGTTAGAGACATTTGCCATCACTTAGTATAGTAACATAATAAAAGTATTCAAGTAGTCATGAAAGGTGTGCTGAAAATCTTCTTCTTCTTCTTCTTCTTCTTCTTCTTCTTCTTCTTTTTTAAGGAGGGTAGGGTAAATTTTTTTTCTCTCCGAGCTTGTTCATCATGCAGGTTGTAAGCAATATAACAGATGGGTTAACAATATTAGACTGCCAATGTAGAAGTGGAGAGGGAGATATGTCTTTCTGGAGGAAGTTCTGTTGTCTTTAGTGCTATGTTTTTGCTTGAGTACTAGTAGCAAATGTACTCCCATGTATGTGGATTATGAGGTGTATATGTAGATAACTTTTTGTCTGTCTTTTTTAGAACAGTAAACCCAAACAATGGAGTAAAAGTTGAGTTATTTTGGAGAATGATAAACAGATTTAGGAAAATTGCCACTTACTAGGCAATTTATCAATATTACAAATCTGTTTACTACTTGGTTGTGCTGATGTTTGAAAGAAGTTTTGGTTAATTGGTTACGGAAGTTGGTTATACATACTTTTTATTTTTTTTATTTTTTATTATTTTGTTTATTTTTATCTTTTTTATCTCTTTATCATTATTTTCTTTTAGTCAGAATAATTTCAAATTGTTATTTTTGCTTAGAAATTCTTTTTCATTCTGAAAGATCATGTTGAAACTGTGCAATTGTAAATTTTATCTGTTATTTTTATACATCCTAGAGAATGTCAATATAAGCTGATGCCATAGTTTTCATGGCTTTTTCCATTGAGAGTCTAATTCTGTGTGTGGCATTTCCCAACAGGAATACTCAGAAGAAGAATTGATGAAGATGAATTTGGTCAGAGTCAACGAAGATTTTCGGGTCATTGCCCTGGGCCTGCCTTCACCACCTTATCAGGGCCATCCTCTAGATCCTCCGCTCAGGTCCCGGTTTCAGGCCAGAGATGTCTCAAGTTTGCCATTCAAGGTAAGTAACTGTATTGCTTTTAACCCAGCAGTGATGGGTTCACTAAGATGACCAGGACATAGGCAATAGCTGGGTGTCTCATACGTCAGATACGTGTGTTCTCAGCTTACACTTTGATGCTTTATTGGGTCACCTGTGTGTGTGTCAGTGTGCAGGTTTCAGAGTGGAAGTTGATGCTATAGGAAACTATTTTTTTACACAGGTAACCATCATGGATAAGTTAACTCCTAACATCCAAGGACAACTGATAGTCTAAATTTTTACTTTTTGCTTGCAAACTGAGCAGACTCAATTAAGTATAGTGTACAAGAATGAGCTTTTTTCCATATTTATTTTTTTTTCATTGGCCTAGAGAGGTAGGATGTGTGAGGAAGTAATTGTGGGATTGTTTTGCAAGTTTCTTCCCTCAAGCCCACACCCATTTCCCCACCTCCTTGTACCAATAAGAAGTGTCGTGATGTATGGTGTACACTCGCCAACCATAAAAATTATACCACCTCCACCGACCCTGCAATGAGGCATGGAGTGTTTCTGGATGACGGCTCAGCCCAACTATGATGGGCAGTGCATGCATGAACAAATTTTAATGAATAGTCATGGGCAGAAGTCTTATTAAATTGAAGCTTACCCTATACAAAAAGTTTGGCACTAAGCAGATGTTCGAAACGGAATTCAAAACACAATTTACAAGATTTTTACCATGATTGTTCATTAGAGTATGTTCATGCGTATGTTGCCAGCCATAGTTTGGCGGAGCCATCGTCCAGAAACACTCAATGCCTCATCACACAGTTTGTGGAGGTGGTATACTTTTTATGGTCGGGAAGTGTACGCCTACAAGAAATAAACCCATTCCCCCTTATCCTTTGTAACACCTTGTCTTCCTGAACTAATCATACAATCACCTCCTAGTGTTATTCCTGCCTCTGTCATTATGTGAATGAACTTTAAGGATGAAGAAGAATGCTTGGAATGTATGGATTGTACAAACAAACCCATAGCATGATACTTCTGTTCTTCAGTACCACTATTGTGTTTCACAGATTCACCTAGTAGTTTCCTATTTTCTTTTTACTGTTTGTAGAAAAAAAGATATGTATATGTTTATTTTGTCTAATTCTCTCTTTTTTTTTTCTTTCTTTCCTTTTTTCTTTCTTTCTTATACATTTTGTGACTGGGCAAATAGTCGAGAAAATGTGAGAACATATTAGGTTTAGATTTATATAGTTGTTTATTTATCATTTAAACTTGTAACAAAGAACAATCCCATCACAGATATAGGTTTTAGAAATATGTATTGTATATATATTTATTATTTTATTTTTATTTATTCTTTACTTATTTATTCATATAATATTATCATTTATTTACTCAGTGATATTTATAAATCCAACATTACACAACAACACAATCACAGCAATCACACCACACACACACATATATATAAATATATAGTTGATATATTATATATATATAATTATATATATAGGGTATATATATTATATATATATGATGCATGTGTGTTGTGTGGTGTGGGTGTGTGTGGGTGTGTACATAATATATTACTATGTGTATATATTATTATACATATATATATATATAATATACATACTAATCACACACAATACATAACTACATATACATATACTAATCATACACACATATACTAAAACATTGTATCACCAATAAAATATAACTATACTATAACTATATAATATATATATATATATTATACATATATATAATATATATATGATATTATATATATCCTATATATAACCAATATATATGCGTATATATTATATTATATACATATAACATATAATATATATATATAGTTATAAGTTATATGATATAATATATATACACATATATAGTGTATAGTAATATAGTTAACTAATTTATTATATATAATAATATATAAAGTATAATATATATATAACAATATATGTGTATAAATATATATTATATCAGTTATATATAATTATATAATATATATATAATATATATAATATATAGTATATTATAACTCCCCACACTATAACAACTCACTATACTCAACTAAATATAACACTCAATATACTATATACATACAATAATATACCATCACCTATAAATACACAATTAAGATATACACGAAATCAGTTGCAATGCATGCTTCAATTATAAATATATTCTATATATATTAACTTCAAAATTCAAACGGTTCATTATCTTAAGGGTCAAATAACAGTTGAGCATTAATTATGTATTATAATTACATGACTTAAATGCTGCTCTAAGAAACGTAAGTTATTTTGATCATGTATTTTATTTCGCAGAAATAATATTAGGTACATTAATTTTGCAAAAGACACTTAAGTTGACAATTAAATAAGGAGATTCACGCACTTGTAAGAAGCAAGCAAGAAGAAGGAAAGATACAAAACGAGCCTCTGCTTTCTGCTGCCCTTCCAGACGTCTCGCTACAATTGGTAGAGAGTCAGCTCGGATAAGCGAAGCCACTTCGCTTCCTCGGCGCGCGGGTAGATAAGAGAGCCGTAACAAACGCTACAGCCGTTTCATCGAAAGAAGATCTTACATAGGATCATTTTTCAGGATTCACATTGCAGTGCGGAAATAGCGGTCTGCGCAGTAGACGCGTGGGGCATGTTGGAATGTTTGGCACAAAAGCTTCCGTGTTAAAGAGTGGAGAAAAGTTTATTCACGGGTGATTTTCGCGGAGTGGATTTCGCTCGGCTAATACTCACTGCCTGACGTTCCCTTTATGTTAAAGGGGATTGTTGGCTGTGATGCATGTGGACTATCGCAGGTTAATCCATTTGGACTTCATTTTTTTTTTATCTTGGGGGATTGAAAGCATGAACTTTGCAACTTTTAAGAGAGATTTGAGCTTTTTGTGTTATTACATTGTGTTGGGGAGGGGGCATGGGGGGGAAGGAGACCTTCTGTTTCCTTTCCTTTATTCTGTTTGTTTCTTTTGTCTTTTTTATCGATTTTCCTTATCTCTTTTTCTTTTGTTCTTCCTATTGGATAGAGTGAAAATTCTTGTATTTTTCGTATCTCAGTCTCTTCATTATTTTTTATTAGACACTGATGGTCAGTGACGCCTTTATAATCATCATGATTAATATTATCAGCCAGTAGCGTTTTCTTCATTGTCTTTTAGGATTTTGTATGTACTCATGCTTAAAAAAATAAAAGAACAAAAAACAAAAATCGGTACATCGGTTACATACGTACATACATACTTACACATTTATATATATTCATACATACGTACGCATATGTGTGGGTTTGTGTGTATGTGTGTGTGTGTGTGTGTGTGTGTGTGTTTGTGTGTGTGTGTTTTGTGTATGTGTGTGTGTGTGTGTTGTGTGTGTGTGTGTGTATGTGTGTGTGTGGTGTGTGTGTGTGTGTGTGTGTGTGTGTGTGTGTGTGTGTGTGTGTGTGTGTGTGTGTGTGGTGTGTGTGTGTGTGTGTGTGGTGTGTGTGTGTGTCTATCTATCTGTCTATCTATTAATAATACACATACACACATATATACGTATACATTATCACACATACATACAATTGAACTGAATTAAAGAAGAGGCAAAAAAAAGTAAACAAGCGAAGCAATAGATAAACCTGGAAAAGGAAAGGCAAAGACTAAAACGAGCAGAGAGAGAGAGAAAGGGTTTGATCAGACTGGAAACACAAAAGAAAATGGTGCCCTGTATTCTTCCACGCTCTCCCAGCTTTTCTTACGGTACTGTAAATCTCTCACATATGAAAGGGGAAAATGAACGTTCCGAACTATGTCGCCGAAGGGAAGGGCTGGGATGCTTGCAGAGGGGGAGGAAGGCTAGGGGCGCGGAGGCGTGAGGCCGTGAGAAATGGGAGGGCACGAAGGCATAAGATTTTGAGAAACATAAAGACTTGGCGACACAAAGGTGTAGATCGCAGATTGGCCAGGCCGGGGGAGCAGCCGTGTGGACTGCAGCCTCGCGCAGACAAGCCTTTGACACGGGAATCTGGCCTCTTTGAGCTCCACAAACCGTGGCAGCGCGGAGTTTTTGCGCTTTTCTCGCTTTATTTTACTGATTTTGGCTTTTGTCTTCTCTGCCTTTGTCTCCCAGTCTCTCTCTCTATGTCTTTCTCTCTCTCTCTCTCTCTTACTCTGTAAATGTATGTGTGCATTTGTGTGTTCGTTTCTTTGTGTACAAATACTTGTGAGTGTGTATGGAGTTGTGCTTTGGAGTGAATAAAATGCATATGCCTCTCTCTGACTCCCTCTCACTCTTTTCTTCCCTCGCTTTTCCCTCTTTCTCTCTTTTTTCCCCTGACTTTCCCCCTATCCACTCTTATCGCTCTGTCCAAATGTCTGACCTAGAGTGCCTGGCGCGTTCACACTTCCTGGACTGAATTTGCCAGTTTACGCGCCGTGTGACAGATCCCGGTATGATCTGTTCTTTTGTTCTCTTCCGTTGCTGCTCCATTGCAATGGCAATATTCATTAGCGGTTTGCACATGTTCCCCCGCATCAATGGTACTGAATGTGAGTCGTATGTGTTTTCGAATTTTCAACTACGGCTTTGTCACCAAGTTGGATTTCCTAGTTAGCTCCTTGGATTCTAATTTGAGTTCAAGGTGAGAGGCTGACTTGACCTGCTCTTCCTTTCTTCCTTCTTCTTTTAATCCTTCCTTCTTCTTTTGATTCTTCTGTCTAATCTTCTTTTTTTCTTCTTCGTATTGATGTAATATCTAGATTGTAGATAAGTGTAAGTAATGATAGAAATAAGTTGGATTTCCTAGTTAGTTCCTTTGATTCTAATTTGAGTTCAAGGTGAGAGGTTGACTTGACCTGCTCTTCCTTTCTTCCTTCTTCTTTTAATCCTTCCGTCTTCTTTTGATCCTTCTGTCTAATCTTCTTCTTTTCTTCTTCGCATTGATGTAATATCTAGATTGTAGGTAAGTGTAAGTAATAAAAGAAATAAGTTGGATTTCCTAGTTTGTTCCTTTGATTCTAATTTGAGTCCAACGTGAGAGGCTGACCTGACCTGCCCTTCCTTTCTTCCTTCTTCTTTTTCCTTCTTCTTTGATTCTTCTAATCTTCTTCTTTTCTTCTTCGTGTTGATGTAATATCTAGATTGTTGGTAAGTATAAGTAATAATAGAAATAAGATGGATTTCATAGTTCCTTTGATTCTAATTTGAGTCCAACGTGAGAGGCTGACTTGACCTGCTCTTCCTTTCTTCCTTCTTCTTTTAATCC